TATATATATATATATATATATATATATATATATATATATATATATTTATATATATATATATATATATATACACACACACGGGATACTCGAGTATTTAGCGTAACGTGATGTGATGTGATTTGATATGACGTGACGTGACGTGACGTATGGTGAGGTGAGGTGAGGCAAGATGACGTGATGCGACGCAAATCAACGTGGCGTTTCGACAAACGTACTAGTTCGCGAGGCTAACAGCAACTGTCCGTGTGCTAACTGGCGCGCTACGCTCGCGGCTCTCCCTTAAATACCGCCGACAGTTCGGCGGGTGGTTCGGTTGTCCAATTCACCTATACCACCACCGTTCTGTCACTTACGGTTTCTCTCCTTTCCTCTTCTCTCTTCTCCTCTCTTCTCTCTCTCATCTCGTCTCGCCTCGTCTCTTCTCTACTTTACTCTTCTCTCTATATCCTTCCTATTTTACTTCGTGCACTCTCCTACGCTCTATCCTACTCTAGGTTTCCCTTCCGTGATCCTCCGCCGCCTCCCCACTATTCGGACATCAACCAAACTCCACCCTCTGCTCTCTCCCTTCTTCTTATCCTACTCCTTCGCATTACTATCATCTACCACCAACGAGTCGCGTGCCTGCCAAATCCAATCCCACCTACTCATTCTGGGACCTAATCTCTCCCTTCGGGTAGTCTTCTTTGTATCTTAGCCGCAACTTGCTCTCTTCTGTCTTTAGCGTTCAGTCCATAGTCGCCGTCGATTTCTTTCGTTGAACGATTGTGGTAAATGGCGGTACTTTGGTATCGCTATCATATTCATCATTACTCTCGTTACTATATCTGCTACTGATTACTGATGTTCCACATTTCGCTATAATCATACTCGACAAATTGCAATAAAGAATGCGTATCAAAAAAAAAGAGCGCGTAAGATGGTACAAGAATGAAGGAGATGTAGGTTCCTTCTGCATATTTATCGCAAAATATATGTACAGTTGGCGATGTAGAATGTAATTTAAAAATTATTAGAGGGAGGAAGATAATAAATAATTTTTTCTCTCTCGTTCCTACTCTTTTCCACTGTTTTTTATTCTTCACTAGTGTCGAGTCGTATAATTAATTAAGTCGTATAAACAATAATTAAGATAATTATTATTAGAGAGAGAGAGAGAGAGAGAGAGAGAGAGAGAGAGAGAGAGAGAGAGAGTTTAATAAAACTTTTATCCGGAGATATCGACATTACATAAATTCGGACGATACGTTTGTAAAATTATGCGATTCAATATAGATTCGCAACCGACGTAATTGACAGATGTTTTCCGTATTATATATGGCTAACAGGGCGTTACATTTTATTAAAAAATAAAACTAATTTCGATATTGCTTATGATTTCTTCGTCTTCTCTATGAAAACTTTATGATACAGTGATGTTACACATCAGCACCAATGAGTTGCTCGATGATAATAAATTACGCAAGACTATACGACCAAAGCGGTTCTCGTTATTGGCTACAAATTCCAAAACATCGCTTGGCGTTTGGCCAAAGGTCGTTTTTTGCGCGATAAATCTTTGTCCTTGCATGCTGCGAGAACGAATCTGTGTGTAATCTATACATTGTATCCACAAACGTCTGTTGCTATGAACGTTTTATTTTTTGCTTTGAGAAATTTCTGGAAACTTATTATATACGAGAATTTTTACTTTATTCGAGAGCACTAGACATGTTTTACATAAAAGTTGTTAAAGAAAATATTTAATAATATTCTCCGAAAAGTATCGTACACAGAAATGCGACTCTCTCTCTCTCTCTCTCTCTCTTTCTCTCTTTCCTCTCTCTTCTTCTTCAACGAGATCTATGTACTCTGACACACTAAGGAGCGTTGCGAGATTAGTCAATAATTCTTTTGGATAATAAAACTCAATACATTGACGTATACATATGGCGTAATACTTAGTTATCGATAACCTTGCACGACGTAACCGTGGAAGATATGGTAACTTTGCGAACCCAATGATTTCACGCTGATGAAATCAACGGTCGTAATTATTTGACGAAAAAGGAACAGTTGGCAGAGAAAAGGCGGCGACAGTTTCCATCTATTGTAGCCTTTGTAGTTACGACTCGACACTAGTGGAGGACGAAAAGGTGGAGGACAGGCGGTGGAGAAGAGTATGGAGCGAAAGGGAAGAAAAGGGCTATAATGTTCGAGCCGACGCGACGCGACGCGACACGACGCAAGGCGGAGCGAAGCGAGAATCTGTGAATGAGGAGGAGGAGGTAGTTCTTGGCATACGCGATTGTTCAGCTTCCGAGGGAGTTTATAAGCGAGTCACCACCTTTTATGTGCATGATCCTGAAAGCGGTATAGTAAACGTGAAGTAAACATTGTTTACTTCGAGAGAGCCGATTTTCAACATTGGAAAATTAATAATATCATACGTACAATGCGCCGTTGAACATTCGTCTTGAGACAATGTCTGTCAACGTCGACATCGATTTCCTTCAAAGAGATATATTTAATAAAAAATAATTGAAAATGCCGGGAAAGTAATACGCGAGATAGGACGCTTTGATATGTTTAACAGAATGCATGTTCGTTTGTGACAAATAACATTTTCAATATATGTCTCGAATGTGGCTGCTGATAACGCAGACGGAACTCTGCAAAGAATCGACGGGTTTCAAAACGACTTACACTCTGTGGAGGGATCTCGTCGGCGGAGCTGGTGAGTCGTCGAGTTGACCCCCTTTCAGGGCTGCTTTCGAGACACTCGAGGCATTCAGGCAACCACCGTTTCCGCGGCAATTGTCGCGCAATAATTATATAATTCTCGCCACATTTGGAACTTGGCACCAGCAAGGATCGTCGAAGGTAGTTGAAACCACAAGTGGTTTCGAGGTGTTGGAAGGGAAGGTTGTTCACGCTAAACAATACGTTCTAAGCGACTTAGACGTTAACTACACGAAAATTAAACGATTGGGCATTTTGTAGAAAGATGGAAATCATTTCTTGCTGTCTCTTCAAACACGTTCAGTTTAAAGATTGAAATGCAATTGAATGATACGCGTTTGCCTTTCTTCCTCGTCTTTTACTTACATGATTGATGATATCAAAAAACAAGGAAAATCAGTTATGTAAGATATCGATTTATGATGTGCGACATTTATTGTAAGGAAGAGAAAAACTTGATTATAGAAATAGAAGAATTCTTGTAGGAGATTTCTATTTAGTCGATTGTTCTCTCAATTATTTCAACCGAGTTCAACACGTCACTACCAGACTTACACATGTGTGTGTATGTGTGGTACATTATATAAAATATTCAACTTGCCCATACTTAACACGTTTTATGCGTGCACAAGTGCAAATATGCGCTATATTAAATGTGACTATTAAAAAATTTAGCTATAATGAGCGAATTTCAATTTCACGTTTGCGCTAGCGAATGTTCAAACGATCACGATAACAGTGACATCATTTCTCGTCACCAGGTTTTTTGTTTATTTTATTACAGAGATTTTTTTCCGTGCATGTACAAGTGGTTTGTTTTAGCTGCTGCTGCTGCTTTCTCTCTCTTTCTCAACATGGAGTTGGATGAAGATCTGGATATATAATCTGTGCACGCAGTGTATACGGTTGTTCGGACGGTAGCAGAATTCGTTACTAATTGATTTTATGACATCCGTTATATTGACCATGAAGTCGATAGCGACTGTGACCGAAGGAAACAGTGATAGATATGGAGCGCGTATAACACCCTCCTAGCGCGAGTCATGCATGACGCCCTTTTCGACGATACACCAATCTCGTACATGCTTTCCGTTGGCGTAGTGTACAACTGAGCAACGTCAATTGATTAACATTGAAGAGAACATAATCTCTGTAAAAGACGGAATTTTGCACTCTTAATCACATACATCGAGCATTGCAAAATGAAAAAGCAAATTTCAATGTTCGTTGTCGCGGCGATTAAATTATTCCTAATATGCTAGCTAACATTTGGTCTAGCTTGGATTGCTATCATAAGAAAAGATGCATTTTTTATCAAACTTATTGAGATGGTGAAAGAAAGAAAGAAACGTAGATAGATGTTACGATGTTGAAAAGCTGTGAGGAGTGTAAAGAAAGAGAGAAAGAGGGAGGAGGGAAGGAGGGAGGGAGGGAGGGAGGGAGGGAGGGAGGGGGGAGAGAGAGAGAGAGAGAGAGAGAGAGAGAGAGAGAGAGAGAGAGAGAGAGA